GAGGGAGGGAGGGAGGGAGGGAGGGCCAGGGAAAAAAAGATATCGAGAAAGGGAAAGAAGGCACCCGATGATCTATTAGGCGCGCAGCCTGGGAGGTTGGAGCCAGAGTTTCGCGGACCAGAAGGAGCGGTGAGGAGCGCCCAGGCGGGCGACTTCGGGTCTCTGGCTATCTCCTTGGGCCCCGCGCCGTTATTGGGGAGGGGTCGCAGCTGGCTCTGGTATCCTCTGTTTCCCAGCGCCTTCCCCCAGTTCCCCAAGTTAGGCGGGCGGACCTAAGGGGGGTGGGTGGAGGTGGAACGGGCGCCCATCAGGGCAGGTGGAAATGTTCTGGGGGGGGGACCTTAACAAACTCCGCGTTTCTTGTTGATGCTCGCGATTCCTACACCCCCGGGGGAAAAGAGCATCGGCTCCATCCTGGTGGCAATAATTAATCTGAGGCGGCGGGGCTCTGGAGCCGAATCCTTGGGGGGGGGGGGCGCCCCGTCGGTGCGGGATTCTTTGGCGCTGCTCACATTTTGTTCTAGGTTCGGTTAATTGCTGGTATAACCGGAAGGGGGGGTGCCATCAAGGGAAGAAGTGCTGGAGTGGCAGATCTACCAGTCTTCTTTTGATGGTCCTCATATGTGAGAAACAAGCTTTTAGGAGTCTTTGTAAACGTACTTATTAGAGATTCCCTCGGCAAGGATGTCTCTCTTTTGTGAAGTGTGGGGGGGCACACCTTCAAGAAAAGAGGCTTGAAAGACACCCAGGGAACGTCTGAAGCCTACATTTACTCGGGAGTAAGACCCATTCGTTCCACTACAGTCCATGCGATTTTCTTTTCAGTTAGCACGTTTGGGACTTGAGTGCAGGCGAGTAAAACGATTCTTGCTCTTCAGAAGAAAGCAAGGCAAAGCCGGGCGTGGAATTGCTAACAGGGAGACCAGAACAACCGAGAGCCTATTTTATTTAGTTTTTATTTATTTTACTGCTAAGGAATTGCCAATAGTTCTTCTTTGTTACATCTGTATTTTCCTAGATTCGGTTTTTGTAAGGTAATACCCATCAATATCCCCCCTCTCCAAGTGAAAAGAGACATTAAAAAATAGGAGAAACTATTTTGTTAATTAGATATATTATAATCTCGCAGGGAAGTGCTCCGCGTCCGCTTGTCCCCATTTCTCCCCTTTCTTGGAAAGCCGAGGAGCCTGCCAAGCACCTCGGAGCCGGACCCCCAGGCCCGCGACGCCGGAGGCTGGGGCTCTGGCGGCCAGAAAGCGCCTCTCCTGGACGGGGCCAGCGGCTGCGCGTTTCCGAGAACCGACTGCGCTTCTTCCGGTGGGCTCTTCTGTACGGCTGTCCCGAGGATTCCTCGGTCAAAGGTCTCCTTGGAACCAGATGTGGCATTTTTTTAAAGAATAGAAAGGGTTTTTTTTTTGGGGGGGGCTTAGGAACAGCCCCTTGTAAGCCGCCCTGAGCCCGGGGTAAAAATGCCTAAATAAATAATAATAAAAAAATCTCTGGCCACTTCTGCACTGTCATTTTTGTCGCTCGTTTGTCCCTATTGCTTCGTCGTGCCCTTTCCCACGGGTGTTTTGCTCCTTCTGGGACTACTAAAGAGAGCAAAATACATGGGGGGGGGGGGGGGGGGACGACGACCCTGAAGCAATAGGGACAAACGAATGACAAAAATGACAGCGCGGTCTGTTTACAGAGCAGTTAACCGGGAGGGGCAGAATTTGAAACCGATTTAAAGTTTGTGGCAGAGCGACCCTGAGCAGGTTCCTCGGGATCTGTTCAAGGGGCTCGCTCCCGGGTTCTTCGGATTGCACTGCAGAGGCTGCTGAGCAAAGATCCGAGGGCTAAACTGGCCTGCAGGTCTCAGGGTGACTCCATCACCCCAGGCGCAATTTACCGCACCATCCTGCGCAGAGTTACCCGATTCTCAGGTCACTGAAGCCAGTGGATTTCGGGACTGTTTAGGACTGCAGTCCTGCGCACCAGTGGGACAACGTGGTGTGAACCTGCCTGGGCTGTTTGTCTCTGGACAGCCCCAGGTTCGAATCGTGGCAGGCCCCTGTGTCGGCAGAGTGCGTAGTGGTTAAGTGCACGGACTCTAATCTGGGAGAACCTGGCTGGATGACCTTGGGCAAGCCATAATTCTGGCACAGCTGTTCTTGAAAAAGAGCAGTTTCTGTCAGAGCTCTCTCAGCCCCACCTACCTCACAGGGTGTTTGTTGTGGGGAGGGGAAGGGAAAGGAGATTGTAAGCCGCTCTGAGACTCCTTTGGGTAGTGAAGGGTGGGGTATAAATCCAATCTCCTCCTCCTCCTTCTTCCTCTTCTTCTTCCCTGATAAAATGGGGTGACCCGAACCAATGAAGCCCCACCATGGCTTCCCCGGGGCTTACTCTCAAGTAAACGTGCTGAGGAATCGCTCGCCGTAACATTGCTGAGCCCTGTTTGGGCTTTTTGGAATAAGCGATCCGAAGCGAGGGCATTTTCTGCGGCTCCCGGGTGCTGAACTGAACGAATTAAGCGAGCAGCTGGCGACAGTGGCGGGGCAGAGCGCTGCAGCGGGTGGGCGCCCTCATTCGGGAGCCGTTGCCGGAGGGGGACTGGCGGCTGCCTACAGCGGCCCGGCGCCGGGAGTTTGGCAGGCACACTGGGAGACGACACCGGTCAAGACCTCGCAAGTCGCTTGTCGC